AAATCTGCCTGCCGAAGCTGGAAGTGCTTTCATAAACACATTTTTATCCTTTCAGATGTGTTTTTTATTACTATAATTGCTATTTTTTTCTCTGAAGGTTCACACATTCCACTTACAAACTACGGACCAGGGACCTGCTCCTGCTTCTGCTCCCATTTAAGTGAATGGTAGAAGACCCAGACACTTACTCAGTCCTATAGTGGTCCAGCAGATTCCACACAAGTACCAGGAGAAGTGGATCATGCTTCCTGATCCTGAGTCTGACCCCTAGGGCTGCTGTAACTTGTGCTGTTGCCTCTATGGATCTTATGGCAACCGGATATGGTTGCCAAGCATCCGGCTTTCGACCGGAATGCCTGGTCAAAAAGGGATCCTGGCAGCTCTGGTTGGCACTGCCGGCTGGGCAGTTAAAAGTCCACAGCGCAGACCTGGGGCTAAGGCAGGCTAGCTCTGCACGGCTCCCAGAAGCGGTCGCCAGGTCCTGCAGCCCCTATACGCACGGGTGGGTAGGAAGGCTCTGCACACTGCCCCTGTCCCGAAGGCCTAGTCCGCAACTTCTGCTGCTGCTGCTGACTGCAGGCCTGGCCCTGATCATGTCTTCCTGGGATTGTGGAGTACTGATGGGTGCCTTGCCCAGAGGCTCCCCATCTTCCTGAGTGATTAACTGGAGAGGTGGAAGCTGGGACTCAGGATGACTGGGAGCTGGGAGGGAACTAGCTGGACACAGGCTGGAAGACAACTGGGAGGTGAAAATAGCTGTCTCAGGGAGAGAGGAAACTAGCATGGAGGGAAGACAGGGTGCATGGGAGGGCAGAATGCTTCAGGGTACTTTTGGGAAGCTGGGAGGGAGTCGATCTTTTAGGGGAGAGGGATGGACTGATATCTGATGAAAGGGAAGGGTATACTTGTAGGGCATAGGATGAAGATTTGAGGATAAATACATTTGCCTTCATTGCTTGAAGGTAACTTATAAGAAGGAATACAAACACAGTTCCTCAGTATGATTCGGGTTCATAGTTCCATGATAAATTGAAACAAAATCTAAGTTTAGTTTTAAAGCTGTTTAAGAAGAAACTAAGAACTAAAATGATTCTGAAAGATTATCATTCAGGAAAGAGAGAGAAAGACAAAAAAAGTCCTAGTCAGTAGCAAACGTTTGTATGTGTGTGTGATACACTTGTCTCACCCCTGGGAGCCACTGTTGATCTGTAAAATGTCCAAGGAGGAGGCAGTATAAGGCATCCAAACATACGTCTCAGCTGCCACAGTGTAAGTGCAGGACAGAGAATCATAAAGTGGTTTTCAGGGGAAAAACACTTAGGTGGAAAAGGTTTAACTTCTTTAGCAGAAGTAATCTTTTCTATAGTCTTGGCTTAATCATTCAGTGTTTCTGATGTAAATCACTCACAGTGATAAAAATATGATGATACCAAGTTTGTTTGGGATAAATGTGAGTGTGGCAGACTCTGCTTTCAATTACACTGATCTTAGAGTAGCAGCCATGTTAGTCTGTATCTGCAAAAAGAACAGGAGTACTTGTGGCACCTTAGAGACTAACAAATTTATTTGAGCAAAAGCTTTGCTGTAGCTCACGAAAGCTTATGTTCAAATAAATTTGTTAGTCTCTAAGGTGCCACAAGTCCTCCTTTTCTAGTTACACTGATGTAAATCCAGAGTAACTCCATGGAGGTGCACTAAGACTGAAATCAGAAACTGGTCTCCCTGCTGAAATGTTGGTAGAACACTATGAATAGCATTGCTTTAGCATGAGGAATTTAAGAGGGGCAGAGTGCATCTTAAACAGAGAAACTAGGAATGATCAGAATGCACAATCAAATGTACAAAGTCTCTCCAGCTTAATAACACATTTTATCTTCAAAATAATACAGGAACCTGAGGCTCAAATTTGACAGAATTCCTTTCAGCCTTTTGCAAACCACTGAGTTCACTGGGTGTAAATCAGTGCTGAAGCCGGTTCCTAGGTCATCTCATTGGATAAATATGGGACTTGGGAGCCAGCTTAGCACTAAATGTTCTGTTCTGCTTATCTTATCTCTAGACTTGTGTTTTATAGTTTGCAAATAAATTCACACACAAACATTAAACCATTACTCAAGCAATTGTTTGGATATGGTAGTGATATGTTTTTAGTAACTTGTGGTCATGCAACTGGGTTATGGCAATGGGGTAGATGGGGAGACTATATTGCTCTCATTTACACAGCAGTCCTCAATGCTTCATAGCGGGAGATTGTATGGCTTCAATTTTCTGAGAAGAAGCAAAAGCCTGAATGGCAAATTTTAAGACTCAGAACCTTTTTGAATGCTTGTCACTTGTGTGTTCTTGTCCCACAGAAATTACCAGCCATAAAGGACTTTGAAAAGTTAAACCTCAACTTGGTTTGCTCCTCTTAAGAGAATGAAATAATATGCATAAATATAGCAGTTAATTTTTATGTTGTGTTTTAGTTTTAATGAAGCCAGGCTTCCTGATATAGTAGCAAGATGTGTGTGTGTGTGGGAGGGCTAGAGATGATATGACAGGGGCAGGAGGAAAGCAGCTCTAGAGAAGTACTCACTGAGAGCTGCTATTTAGGAGGTCTGCTGTTGTGAAGAGTTTACTGTCTGCCTACACTTCCAGCTGGGGGTGTGATTCCCAACATAAGGAGACAGGCTCAAGCTAGCTCTCATCAAGCTAGTGCACTAAAAATGGAATATAGCCACATCAGCAAGACAGCAGGAGCAGCTAGCTCCCTGAGTGTATGTCTGTCTGAGATCCTGTACATGAGGAAGCTAGCCCCTAAGTCAGGGTTTCATCCTGCCTCCTATCACCGGTGTATCTAAGTGCTTTCTATGTAAAATTAATAGCAATAGTGAAGCCTCTAATGGACTTCATGGAGTTTTTGGAACTTCCCAGTTTTGCAGGTAAAAACACTGGTTGGGTTAGGTTTTGTTGTGGTTTGGTTTGGTTTGTAGCAGAGGTATTAGTAGAAGTTTAGTGATCAAAGGGAGTGAGTATTATAAGTGTCATTCTTATGGAGGACACTTAAGGCCTTCTGCTTCCCTGCTCCAAGAAACCACCAATAGGCCCCCTATATAAAAATACATTATATAGTTAACAACGTTAACAAAACTCGTATTTGATCTTTATAGTTTATAGCTGATCTGCTCAACAGTTTGCTTGAAAATATAACATGGTATTAAAATTTCTCATTGCAGAAAATAAACCAACACAGAATTTAATTCTTCTAAGAAATCAATGTAGAGACCTGTTTACATATGTTAAAGTTATGCACATCCCATATCTAGGGCATCTTCTGTGTGGGTTATTAAATGCACTATCAGCCTCTGCGTTCTATGGTTTCAAAGTTTACAATGCACCTAGGTTTAAACAGCTGAGCACTTTAACAAAGTATTTAGATGTAACCTTATGCAAACACCCTTATATTGTTATTGCATAACTTCCAGTGCAACAGTCCTACTTGGGTGTTTCTGCCATTCCCAAGATGTGTGTTCTGAGGTACAGTGATAGGAAAAGAATTTACCTGAATTCTGGGTATGCAGTATTGTGATATAGGACAAAGGATTGCATCGATATCAATATGTGCGTGGTTAATTTCCGTGTTTGGTTGTCCTGTGCCTGAGCACACTGTAATACTGACAGAACTAAACAAGGATCCTGATTCAAGGAAAAGAACTTGCACTAGGGCTCAGTTAATATTTGTTAGATAATTGTGGAGCACAATTTGTTTTGGAAAGGAGTGCACTGTTAATAAGCAACCGAGAAATGTGGGCTTGATAGCTGAACAGTTTGTCAGGAAACTAAGGGAGGTAGGTACTGGCCAGTTATATGTGCAAGACAATTTATCTCCAACTCTACAATTTTTTTTTTTAAATGTATCTGAGTCACATGGTTTATTTAAACCCACTTCCTTTGTAGCTCTTAAGCAACAAATCCACTCCACTGCAGTCTAAGCTAGCTCAAATCTATTGGGATCAACTGATTGGTGCCTGCTTTTACACTGGGACTGAATTTAGCCCAGAGATACTCACATTGGGGCTTTTTTTCTGCAATGATCTCCGTGTGGGTAACCCCCTGCACCAAGGTGGACTCTCATTGGCGCTCAATATGGGCATAGGGAACTACCTGTGCAGGATGAAGGCCTATGTTTTTAATGTCTGGGGACAAATAACAATGAAACACAATTGAGGGCCTAATCCCGTCAGCAAGCCTACTGACTCAATGCAAGTCAAGTACCCATTAGAATCTATTTGGTTTATTTTCCTTAATTGCCACTGTTTCATGATATTCTGGTCACTGTTCCCACTGGCTTGTGCAGCGTGCTGGGGGTGGGATATGCTGCTGCTGTGCATGTAAATACAGTTCATAATGCTTAAGGGTCTGAGAGAAGCCACAACTGTCCTTCATGTCAGGCAGGGGGTCAGCACAGGAGAGGGCTGGGGCCAGGGACCAGCTCGGAACTTGCGGCCAGCCATGTGGGAAGGGAAGCACAGAGCTATATAGGACAAAGGCGGTCTTCTCCTTCTGTGTTTGTACAGCGCCCAGCACAGTGTGGTCCTGAACTATGACTGGGCTCTTGGGTGATATTCCAGTACAAACTCATAATTAATAACATGGTCTGGGGGACACCCTCCCCATCTCTCTTTCCATACTTTCTTCAATCTTTCCCCTTCCTCTAGACCTCCCCCTGCCTCTTCTCCCCCCTTACCCTCCTCCTCGCCCCTCACCCTTTCTCTCCCTCCTTCTCCCCCCTCTTCTTCTTTCTGCTTCTGCCTCTCATCCTCTCACCTTACCCTCCCCTTTCCCCCTCCTCCTCTCCCTCATTCTTCTCCCCCCTTTACCATCCGCCCTTCCGCTCCCTCCTTTCCCTCCCCTGCCATTCATCCTCCTAGGCCAGCGGGCAGTGCGCTGCGCGGAGGAAGCTTGTCCCGCGCCGCGCCCCGTCCAGGGCGGAGCTGTGAGGGGGGCGGGAAGTGCCGGCTCGCCTCCGCTCCCGCTCAGGCTCCCCGGCTCTGCCGTGGCCATGTCATTCCGCCGGGCGCTGGCGCTGGCCGCCTGCGGGCTGGCCGGCGGCTCCGTGCTCTTCTCGGCCGTGGGCGTGGGCAAGCAGCCGGCCCGGGGCGCCGGGGGGGACGCGGAGACCCGGTCGGCGGGAGCCCCCGCCCCCGCCCCCGGGCTGCTGCTCCTGCCCCCCGCCGCCGCCTCCTGCCCCGCAGCGCCGGGCTGGGTGGAGCGAGCCGCCGGCGCGGGCGGCTACTGGGACAGCAACTGGGACAGGTAGGAGCGAGCCGCGTCTGCCCGCAGGTGGGGCCGGGGCCTAGGGGGCTGGGCAGCGGGTCCCCCCGCTGGGACCCAGCGAGCGGCCTCAAGGCTGCGCCCCGAGTTCCCCGTCCCCGGGCGACACGGGCTGCCGGCGGGCGGAGGGGTCCCTCAGTCCTCCCCACTGGGGGCGCTTTGATTCTTCCTTGTGGGGGGATGCACATGGGGGAACCCAGGGTCCCTCCCGCTCCCTGTCGGGGGGAAAGGCCTTTCCTGCAGGAGGGGGCTGCCTGGCCCCAAATGGGCTCTCGTGGGGGAGGCGCGCACGCCCTGCCGCTTGTGGTTTTGGTAATGAGGAGAGAAGATGATTAGGGAGTCAGGACTCTCCTGAGTTCCAGTCCTGGTCCAGCTGCTGATTGGCTGCGGGCAAGTCACTTAATGTCTCGGTCCTTTAGTTTCCCAGTCTGAAAAGAGGAGGATTTGCCCCTGTTTGTAAAGTGTTTTGGGATGCTGGATAAAAGCTGCTGTGGGAGCGGGCCTGCCTTTCTAAATTGCTTCATCGTTAAATTACGTAAGTACCCTGGAAATGCAGCCACCTCTGGTGTATTGGGGTGCAAATAAACAGCACATTACCTCTCCACTACCACCGCCACACCTAAACGACTTACACGTAGAAAAATAGCACACAAAAGGCATAATTACGTATGATAAATCTTTCAACTACTGCTGTCTACGCTCTCTATTTGATAGGTTTCAGAGTAGCAGCCCTGTTAGTCTGTATCCGCAAAAAGAAAAGGAGGACTCATGGCACCTTAGAGACTAACAAATTTATTTGAGCATAAGCTTTGGTGAGCTACAGCTCACTTCACTGGATGCATTTGACGATTCCCCTTCCTGATATAAGTTCATTACAATAACGAAAGTGAAATTATTGCAGGCCCCTGCGGGATGGACATAAATATAGGTCTATTGGGGGGCGTTTTAAGAGAACATGACATATAACCAACTTCATAACAGAGTGGGAGGAGAAATTAATAACTAATACCTAGACTCTTTGATCTCAAAGTACTCCACAGACTATATAGAGGGGTCTGCTCAGCTGCCATTGAGGTATAACTTTCTCTGTGGTGGAACTTTCTCTGTGGCAACTAATAGCTCTTAGCAGCACTGAACTATGCAACAATTTAAAACAGGAAGTGAATTCAGGTAATTGAAATTTCAGGAGGAACTGTAGGAAGGTAGAATTATGCGAAACTTAAATAAAGCTAAAATACTGAGGTTAATAATGTTAAGTAATTTGTGTCTTTATAGAGCCTAAATATTCTGTAGGAATACCTTCTTCGTTTTTAATTTATGGAATTCATAGTCCTCTCTATGGTATAGACATATACAAGTCATTTCTCCTTTTTGGCTCAGTAAATGTATCCTACTAATTCTTTGGAATAGGGAGACTGTGAAGTCCAAGTGTATGCAGTATCAGAAATTGCAGTAATTAGCCTGTTTGGATTATTCAGTTTTTATTAAATTAACCATTTTGTGTAAAAAATTATCTTAATATCTTGTATCATAAAAAGGCTTAGTTTATATAGGACTGAATCTATCAGAGTGCTTTTGTGGATAGTAAACTTTTGACTATGCAGATATCAAACATACTGTTTGGTTAATCTCTGCAACTGCAAATCAGATTTAGATTTTTTTTTCTTTAATTCTAATGAACTTAATTTGCCTGCCTCTCTAGGGGACTGACTATATTCAGCTAATGACTAATCATCTGTATTGTTCATTATAATAAATACTTTGCAGTTAAAATGGGCAAATATAAGTATCAAGCTTTAGCTCATTGAGCTCCTGTCTGGTGTAATTATCTCCCCAGAGAGATTTGTATGCCAGACTCCAGTTTAATAAAACAAAATCCAAACTAAAATCCTAGCAGGCTGTTTTGATTGTATAATGTGTTCGAATCAAAACATGAGGCATTATCCAATCTAATATGCCTAAAGATTGTGCTAGATAGATGTAATTTAAAAATCTCAAAGCAATGATGCATTTTTAAATAGTTATTTTTAGTTATCTTTGGGGTGTGTGTGTGTGTAGGTATGTGGCCAAATGGCGTATCTGACTATTTGTAGAATTCATGTGCTGATGAATCCACATGATTAATTACCCATATTTACTTCTGTGTGCAAATGAAGTTTATTTCTAGTACTTCAGTCAACCTTGCTCCTTTCACTAGAAATGTACTTAACTATGTAACAACTGTAGCAGACTGAAATCAAACTTAATATGCCCACTAGTATGCCCTCTCTCTGACATGGAGGCCTACTTGCAGTGGGGAGGGTAGATCAATTTATTCCCAATCCATTCTTGGCTGCTGTATTCAGACCTGCATCACAAGGGCCAGTTATGAAATTTTTGTGATGAGGCCATTTGTTTACTGTGATGACTTTAGTTGACACCATACCAAATCACTTGACACAGACCACAGAGCAGCTACAGATGGTTACTCAGATTGCTAACTTGACTCTAGCCCTTGTGAATAGTAGCCAGAATTAGAGTACAATAGTAAACTATGCTCTGAAAGCAAACCATTTTAGACAACAACTAGAAGATTGGGCAATTGTGGGACTTAAAATCTATTTCTAAATGGACAAGCACTTGCAGAGGTTGTAATAACCACAAGTCTATCCTTCCTCTCTGTAAGTTAAGATGCTGAGCTCAGGAGATTCAGGTTCAGTTCCTAGATCTATCACAGACATCCTGGGTGACCTTGAGCAAGTGACTTATTGTCTGTTTTAGTTGCCCATCTGTAAAGTGAGTGTAATGCTTCTTTACTCCCACCCTTTGCCACTTTTAATAATGAAAAAGGTGAGTCACTGCCTGCTTCAAAGAGCTCGCAATTTTTATGTACTGTACTTAGCACAAGCGGGTTTCTGATCTCACTTGAGCCCTCTAAGTGATACGAAAATAGTTGGGTTTTCAGTTGATCTCTCTACTGCTAGAGTGGGGGAATGACTTGTAGATTGCCACAAAAACATGTCGTTTTCAATATATGAGAGATCTGGATTATTTTTTGCAGTGTAGATGATACATCTATCAGGGCAGACACCATTTAGTGGTGTGATGGGTGACTAGCCAAGTTATATGTCACAAATTCACTTGAGCTGCTCTTTATACTACCTTTTCATTGTTTGATATACTACTCAAAGTTCTCTAACATAGCCATGTGATAGGACGTTTTCATTAGCTTGTGATGGTAGGAGGCTGGGCTCAGCAACCCTGCTTCTCATTTGTGGTTTGTTTTATGTTCCTAAAAGCTCATGCTTCAAGGGTTCAAATGGCCACGTGCAGGAGTCATGAAGGGATTTTTTTCCATCTCCAGTCTATTCTGTTTTTTTTTAATATCCTTCCTCTGAAGGATCAGGGATAGCCATGGCCAGAGATGGGACACTGGATGGAGAAGGCCAGAGCTCTCAGGTGTCAATGAGCATTCTCTCTCTCGGGTGCTTGGCTGACTGTTTTTTTTCTCATGTGCTCAGAGTTTAACTATGTGAGGTCAGAAAGGAATTTCCCCCAGGTCAGGTTGGCAGTGATCTTAGTTGTTGGGGTTTTTTTTGGCTTCCTCTGCAGTGTGTGGTGCAGGTTACTTGCCAGGATTATCTGGAAGTATCTCAATCATTTCCCTATCATTGAGTGGGCTTTAGGCACTGGTGCACCTTGGTGCTGCCTATCTATGCTTGTGGCACATAATAGTCTAGTTTCCTGTTGGCTGGAGTACTTTGGTCTAGCTTCAATTGTTGAGTTTAGTGCTGGGCGGTGGTGGCCTGTCATATACAGGTCAGACTAGATGTCTATCTCTGTGACTCTAACTGGTAGTGCAGCCTTTTACTGTGGCTGTCCAAAAAGTGTATTTCTGAAATTAATTACAGCTAGAGCTGGCCGTAACCTATAGTTAAGGTTGCTAAATATACACGCACATAGCACACAATTGGTCAGTGCTTCTTGGAAAAGTTTACTTCTGCAAATTTGATTGCTCATTATCACATGCATGAATTAGGATGTCTACTGTGGGGAATAGAGAAACATAATTGCCACTTTTTTGGAGTTTAGTTTTTGAAGCTAGAAACTGCAGACTATGTAAGAACTAATGCAGATTAACTCCAATAAGCTTTTACATGAAAGTTGAAAACACTCTATCACACTAAGCATGGACTATTACTTTGGTTTAAACCTGGTTCTCTGAGAACTAAAGTGTCTAATTAAAATAAGACTGGCCTTGTCTCTACTCCATATAGAATGTTACTTTTGTTATGTCACCCTAGAGAGCTTCTATTTAATGGAAAATGAGAATTAGAAATCTGTATGGAAAAAATCTAAGGAAAAATCTTATTTCAGAATTGTCATGCTTCAAGTTGTTTCCAGTAGCTTTGATTCAACTTCTTAAAGGCAGTGTGTGACTTGAAGTCGTCTTAGTGAGTACTGGAAATTTTTCTTTGAGTCTCTTAAGAATAACTTATTAATAAGTGAATCATCAGGAATTCTCCCCTTTAAAGATGCAACATGCAAGAGCAGTCAGAATAGATAATTGGTCTCAATGATCTCTAGATCTGGGGAGGTGAAGGGGTGAAAGGACAACTGTCTTTGAAACAGGAGCATGTGTCACTTAATCAGGCTGGAATTGAAAGTCTGAGCACTGTTACTTACACCTGCTAGAAAACCCCTGTCCAGTCAAATTTAGAAGACTTTTAGAAGAGAATGGCCCTGTTGCAGATTTAAATTTGTTGGTCTTTAGGTCTCTGAAGGAAAAAAAAAAAGTAAGTTCATAAAGGAACCCACTCAAGCTGCAAACTTCTAGGAGTAGTTTTAAAAATTTCCTATGCATCAAAACCTAAAGATTGGTTTAATGTGGAAGTAGTGTTGAGCTAGACTATCTAGTTAGGATTTGTTCTTAAAATTACTGATATTTCTGTTGTTCCCTGAGGTATAAATTGCTTTGTAGTAATATATCAAAATTGCCGTGG